TTTATTGTGGATCAGCGCGGTAGTCTGCAGCTGCATTTCCACTTCAAATAGGTGGGTGGATGGAAAAATGGACCCAGACTACCAAGTAGAGCTGACACCGGTGTGTCGCGACTTCGTTTGTTTCACAATCGCTTCGACAATTATGCTGTAGATCGCCTGGCTAAGGTGTGACCCCCTGCAGCAGAATGACAGGCCGTAGGCCTGAGCATCCATTAGTTAGCCATTCACTTCACGCACATTTCTTTGATGGCTGGCCGACTTGTGATGACAGTAGTGGTATTGTATCTTCTCTTAGGGTTCGGTGAACCACCACACGCAACATCAGTCAACCCCAGGTAATCTACGTACAAACCTACACGTTAGGAACACCAATTTTTTTGTCCCATGGCCATGACATGTCTCCCTCCTCATGAGTTTGCCTGCAAGAGAGAATGGCTTGCTTTAAACTCCACACCTCTACACTAAGATGAGGCAGTAAGTCTTGCAATGAAATAGTATCCTCTCCCACCATAGCAGTCAAGTCTAGTCATTTAGATGAAAGGCATATTTGACAAGTTTGACACCACCATGATGGCTCTTTTTGCACTTTTCCTGAGACGAAAGCTGTACACCTACCACCAATTTCGACCCATCATCATCACCATAATCCCACTACCTCCAGACACTCAAATGATTTCCCACTAAACAGATCACACAGTGAAGAAGGCCACTCTATCAACCCGCTCTACCCACCAGATAAAGGTCAGTGAAGGCGGAAATAGCAACAATCTTGTTCTACTTTGGCCATAAGTCGAGGATTGATGGCAATTGGGCCCAGCTCCATGGACCAAACTCCATCAGAAGCATTCTGCATCTCGGCCTCTAATGAAAACTTACCTCCGTCTATTCGTCCACTCCTTCTTCAGACGATGGACGATGCAATCCTCGCCTAGATGATCAACGCCGTTTTCCGATTAGCCAGCCTCTCTCCACGCAGGCCTCATATCTTAGAAACTAAACTAAACCAAACTAGTCTGTACGAAAACATGCACCTGGCCTAAAATGGGAAAGAGGTTGTGAGTGGGACAGAGAAGAGGGGAGGGAAGGAAAAGAAGGCAATACTGGCTTAAGCTCTACATTTCAGCCGTAACCGTTAGCATAAACAGGCAGAGAGCACAAGTTGAAGAGTCACCTATATGTGACACCAGCCGTAATCATTATAAATATGAACAACGGAAATGTGAAGAAGGGAAAATTGAACATATAATGGAGACATTTTTATTTGCTGCATGCGCACTGCACTTGGTCTGATAAAAGGAAATAGAGTCTATTATCATCTTACTGTGGAGATATCGCAACGTCTTTATTAACTAAGACTTGACGTCGTTGTTCTGTGACCTTAAAAAACTATTGAAATGCCTTATTCGGTACACCGTTTTATAAAATCAGTGTTATGAGTCAAACTGAAGGGATACCGAAAGACTTTTGGCTCACCCGAGAGCCTGATCTTTACGCCATTTTTAATTTTTCGAGGAGAACTTCCTACTACTACAATTTTTACTAGTAAAATAAGTGCTGTTTGCATTTCCTTTCCCTCCTTGTTACACAAGGACGAGAATAACCTCGTCTTGTCATGTTGTTTTCGGTAAGTTGGCGCACCTGCTGCAAGCACAACAAGCCTCCGCGTCCTGTCGGAACTGAAGAATGACCAACTGCTTGGATGATACCTGCAGGGAACTAATTATTTCTCTTACTGCAAGTAGCAAATGCTTTGGTCTTGTCGGACACCATGCTGTAGAAATGACATTATCATCCTGAATCCACGTGAATCGCATGTGTGCGAAGGTGCTTGTGCTTAGCGAGTTGATTCGCTCCCAATTCATGATGTCCTTATTCATTGCAACTGGTACTTTGCCGCAATTAAAATCCGGACTTTCGTCCATACCGACAGTTTTAGGCAACCATTTGCTAGACAAAGTACCCACTAACGGGTTACTTTCAGTCCTTTCTTCCTTCCTTCAAGGTCTGTCCTTTAGAAAAAAATGAAGAGAGGCACTGTGGTGAGGCGGACAGTCCAGTGTTGACAATGCAGAATAAACCACTCGTCCATTGCGTCCACAGTGAGCACGTGGGTTTCTAATCCACCAACAAATAGATTGTAAGGCATTAAAGGTCTATTTCTAGCTTATTAATTTACATATCTAATCACGGTTTGGCAACCAATGAGGGAGCTACTCCTGTGTCGACTTTCCTCGTGTTATGCCCAAACAACTCACCATTCACCTCACTCTCCATAAGACCACTTTGAGTTTGTGTTGGAGTTCTACAGGAGGAATTACGTTCTGCGGTAATTTGTCTTGCTGATGGTCAAAAATTTGTGACCTTGATCACATGGGTACGCGGAGTAGCCTCCCTCTCCCAAATGTTTGGCATGGTTGCAACTAGTCAAATAATATATAAATTCCTTAAAATTGGACAAAACACAATCTCACACCTCAATTTCGCTGATTTAATCCCTCATGAGAAGATGTTTTACTTAATCTACGGCCAGAATAGAGGGATGTAGGGCAGGCGGTACTACCGATTCCCATCCCATCCACCTGTATCTCAATATCCTCTTTCATCTTTACCCAAATCAGCGATTGTGGCTGTGTTCTCCTACTGGTGTATTTTTGCAATCAGGATGGACAGCTGAGAGGTACATGGAGAAGTATAGTCAGAGGTGAGCAAGGTGAAGTCTTTTGTTCCTCCCTTCTGCTTGCTGGAGATGTGTAAGCCGACAAAATTGCCATTCTATCCCCATGAGTTCCCTTCTCCCTATTATTCTAAATCTTTTCATAATTAACGCTCTTGCTAGTTCCTCCTTTAATTGTTTTCTGTCTCAAAGGCATAAATTTTTGAATTGTGAACTGCACTTTGTACATTACAGTGTATACTACGAGCTTATTTGGCTGCCGTAAAGATTAAGAGTTGGAAATGAGTGCAGCTAACGGGTGGACATTAGTCTTTCGCTACGCCTGTTGAAAATGCGGTGACTTGATGGATGTTGTGTGAGCTCAGATCGGCTTGAGATCTCATACAGTAAAAGCATATTCATTGTAAGTACCAATAATTTAAAGTTGTTCATAAGCAGGTTATTTTACTGGCCATCATTTCTCCACGTGTGTTTCTGCACAGTTCTTTTGGCATTGATAGAGATAAATTTTGCCAACATGGAGAATGAGACGCCTATTTGAGGCCTATGAAGATTGAAATTTGCTGGGCTATGGATCGCCATTAGGAGTTGGGAGAGGAAGTTCCTCCCTCATTAACAGTACGCCTCTATCTGTGAGTAAATTCATGTTCTTCTTTGGTCACTACTGCTGTCAAGATAACAATATATGAGTAAAATATAGGCATTACTGCCTCTTGGTGTCCTGCTTTATGCTTCCAACCTAAGGAAATGAGTTAATTTGCAGGTATTTTGAGCGAAGGTATTTCGGCCTCATTACAATAAAAAGGAGAATAGTAGAGCGCAAGTTCGCGCAGAGTGAGATGCCTAGGATGCGTCTTAAACAAAGCAGATCTTTATTTGAAAAATGCAGAGTATCTTTTGAAATAAAATTCCAAAATTGGCACTCCAATCCATTCATACGAATCTCCATGTTGAGATGATGATGGCCTGAAGGTATATGGAGAAGTAAATATAGGTAGCAAAGGAAATTGTTCACAGGGGGGTTCTAGCTGAATGGATACTACGCTTGGGTTTGGAAAACACTCCACCTAAGTAATTCAATCCTGCTTCACGTAAGAATGTGAGATTGTAAATACGCGTTCATTATGCTACGCTGGGCACCAGCTCCACTCACTGCGCCTGGTTCTACCCATCACTTTATCTTCAACGTAACGTAACGATGTTTTGTTTCCCTTGTCCTTTGTATCCACTCGATTTGTTTTACGCCACTTCGCCTCGCACTTGCACCAACATGTGCAAGGTGGATGGATGAGGGCAGCTGTAGGTGAGCAGAGGGTAGAATGGAGTTGAGATGGACAGTGGAGCAGAATGCAGTGGAGTAGAGTGGAGTGGATAAGGTAACGAATGTCACCAAAATTCACTTTGTGAATTCAAGCGGTAGCATATTAACGAAAAAAGACCATGGCAATGGAGCAACTTACCTCTTTTAGAGGCGCAATAGTTTTTAAATGAATGCTGCTGCTAAATTCTTCCCATCCAAAGGCAGGCATTAACGGAGCAGCTTGGACTTGGTCACTTTCTTTTGTTAGGCACTAAAAGCCTGCCTGCGCACATTGGACTGTGAGAAACTGGACAGCGGTGGTAAGGACAGCTGGTTGCTGCCAATTGCATTAATTCTTAATGATCAGATAAATGCCATTCTTGTTAGACGGATCGAAAATCGGAGCTGTATGAGGGTTGATCAGACATTTTCCTCTTATTGTAGCCTCCTCTAGACAATGCGATGTCGGTTGAAGCAGACTGTCAGATGCAGCGTCGTGATTGAAGCCTGTGTGCCTTACCAGTGGTGTTGACCTGGGTGCTACCAGTTATCAATGCTGCGCAGCAGTCGGGGAAGACGTGATGGCTGTAGACCTTCACACCACATCACGTCACATTATGTCAGGACCCGAAGTAGTTTCATGACAAGTGTCACATAAATGTGAATTCAAACAGGTCAACCATCCA